GTGAATAAGTAATATATCCTTTACTTCATGACTGCTAAGCCAGACTTGCATTTTAACCAGTCTTGGGCAATTAGCTATTCTATAGGGAGTGCAATAAAATTGGCTGTTCTGTTCTCTTATGGAAAATCACACATTTGATGATAATTTATGTGATATTATCCCTAATATCTTCTTCCTTTTAAATCATTATATTCCAAGTTGAAGGGTTTTGCTTTTTTTCTATGCATGCTGTATTTATACTGGATGGTTCATATGCAAGAACGTCTTTTTTTCAGTATTCTTATCTATAATGGCAGGAGTGAGGACTTCCTTTTTCTACTCTCTTGAAGTTCTCCACGGACAGTATAGAAGTTTATGTTGGGAACATGAATCAAAATGTTCTGACTCTTTAAAAGTACAAAAAAAATGCATAGTTTATTGAAGTTTATATTTCATAAATATGCAAAATACTAAAATAAAATTTGCAGCAACTGAGAACTCATAGAAAATGATTCTCCAGCTTTTTCCATTTGAATATTTAAAAAATATCTTTGAAATTATTTAATTAATAGTTTAATTTTGCCAATCTATTGGTTCCACTACTTATTAGATATATAACTCCTAATGGTGATTCTACCACAAGGAGAAATCTTTCCTGGTGAACAAAATTCTCTTCTCATTTGTCAACCCCTTATAGTACTTGGTTGAACAGTGATAGCTCATATACTACAGAGATCTTTGATTATAGATGCATTGATCACAGTTCTTCTCTTGCCATCCAACCATTGAAATTCATTGCCTAATGTCTCCCTACTGTGTTTCTTGTATTTTGTAGAGGATTTTCATATTTTGTTTTATTGCTGCTTCTACTTATCAAAATCATAGCTTAATTACGGATGCAGATGAGTTGGCATATAGAGAGAACTGTGTTGACATGGCATGACATGACATAACAAACACCTGTGGTTGATTCTCACAGATTAGATCTAAATGCAATGTAAACATGAACAGTACAGGGAAATTTCAGGGAGGTAGAGGTAGCTTGTATATACTGTAGTCATTTGTTCCCATTGTTTTTCCCAGACCAAAAACAATAGCATTATTGAAAAATGGTAAGTGTGAAAATATCAACAGTGTTTCAAGAGGTATTGACAGTTGATAGTGGCACAAGCTCTTGACAGTTATTATTATTATTATTATTTTTTAAAATTAATCTATGTTTATTTTTTCACCTCCTCTTGTCCTTCCTTTCCTCACAAAATGTTTGATTTCTCAGCCTAGTTCAAGGGAAAATTTGATACGGAGTGGTCAGTGGTTCCCTTTTCAACCCAAGTAATACATTGTTTCACACTTATATGACTGGGTATGATAGTTGCAGTTGTTTCAGGGTTTATAATATCAAAGGACTTGGAATTCTTTTGTGATTTTGTTCACTTCTTATAGCATTTTTTTGTTTTTCTTTCTTTCTTCAATCTCAAAACAGTCTCCCTCACCCTCTATAGTATATACTTCACATATCAGACTACATTATTCAGTAGGCTTCTTTTTATTGTGTATTGTAAAGAGAGTTATACTTTATTTTCTATTTTTTTCTAAGTTGGTATGAGTTAATTTTCTATTTGGATTCTGTTTGCTGCAGATAGGTGAAGCTGTAGTTGGGCATGTGAGATTTCTTTTTGATGATATGCTAGTCCAAAATTATTTTATACAGGATCTTTGCATTTTTTTATTGTTGCTTCTACTTATCAGCCTCAGGTCATGTCTTTTGTGAAATTCCACACCAAACACACACTGCAGTAGTCCTTTTGGTTCTGCAATTCTGAAGAAAAATTTTCTCGGTGTAAATCAAATCATTGAAATTAAGTGAATTTTTCTATTGTATGTTCTTGGAAAATGAAAGTATTTCAATTTTCTTTCCATCCCTTTTTTCTACAAAATATGCGACACCATTGTAACATGTAATACAGGAAAAAAACAGTTTCATACCTATGTTATTCACATTTTATTGAATAACATGACAAAATTCACACAAAATGCTTCTATTTCACTAACAAAAAAATATTAATAGTATACTTATTCTACACAAACATGTAACTTGTTGATGTCAGAACATAAGGACGGGGGGGCTGCTGGTAGGGGGGAGGGGGGTTTGGGGACTTCTGGATGTGCCTCGAAAGAATGTCATACTGGCCTCAGCGCGACCAGATGCTTCTGGACCCGTTCCCTTGGGAGACAGGCTGCGGTAGCTTTTATTTCTTCTTCTATATAATACTTTATAAACCATTACATGCACCATGATCATATGGACAGTGATTCTCCCTGTGCTCTTTTGAAGCCATATAGATAGAATAAAGGGTCAGTCGTACTAAAACTGGATACAAGAATATGAAGTAAAACATTCAAGCCCAAAGCCAACCCAATGAGTAATGTTAAAATACATGACTTGTAATCCATATGGGGGTGATTATCAATACATAAACAGTTACACACTGCTATGTAGATATAGAATGTACATGACTTTTCAGAAAATATTGATCATGTACAATCCATGTTTACTGGAGTACCTGGTACCCACTGAATTGCACTATATACATCACAGATATTAGTAATATCCTTATATTTGTACAATAAGACCAATCCTTTATGTTCTTTGAAGGTGAGCCATTGTGAGATTTACAAAAACAAAACCCCTTTATTTTTGACAGGTTACAAATGGAAGTCAATGTCGGCCTCTACAAAGTTTTTTTTTTTATTTATTTATATTTTTTTTGTTTTTTTTGTGTTTTTTAGTTTTTTTTTTACAAGAAAGTTTTCATGTACATTTTTTTTTTCTTTTTTTGTTTAATGTACAATGTTTGATATTACATTGAACATACATTTTTATATAAATTTTCTTCCTTTTTCTTTTACTGCGTGAGTATGAGGAAAATAGTTTCCAGGCCCCACTACCCCCAGGCCCACAGAGCCCCAGCACGCCGGCCTGTGGTACACGGTGATCACGCCACGACAAGGTGCAACATATGCTTAGGGTAATGGGTTTTAGTGTCTTTGCTTAGAAACTAGGTGTTTTGATTTATTATAATCAAATATAACTATAAACATTTCTTGAAGAATTATACATTAGCAGTATCATATAAATTATTAAGAATCTAGACTTTGTATTTATACAAACAACGTTAAGTCAACACAGTCTAAATGTTTATGTATCGACAGTTAGTGTTGTATTTGGTATGGTACAGCTGGCTCCTCCTTCCTGTGGGCCTAGCCCCGTGGCGGGTGGCAGCAGCCATGGAGAGCGGTGGGTGGCAGCGCTGTTGGGCCACCTGGAACTGCAGGAACGATGGCGGCCAGCAAGGCACACATACAGGGCCTAGTGATGCCCACAGCTGCTACCGCCAGTCTGCCATCCCCAGTCTGCCACCACCACCACACCACGACGCAGCTCACACCGGCCACGCACTACTGTCCACAGTTACTAGAGGCTACAACTTCTTACACAGTAAGGTGAGGCACAAGGTACAAAGAAAGACCATACGAGAGGTACAGAAGGCGGCCGCATGGGCTGGCCTGGGAAGCAGCAGCGGCTGACTCTCCCTACCTCCAACGCGACCACACAACAGGTACCAGGCATTCTTATCATATAGGCCAATATGTACAAAGAGTAAAAATAATCATGTCTTTTGCTTATTTACATTGAGCCAGAACTAACAAGTACATAGGTGGTGGTGACAGACAGTTGTGATCTGCAGATGATGTTACCATGGCAATGAAAAATGTTTGTTTCAACTGGCCAAGAAGCTTCCTGAGGTCATCTCTCAGATGGGCAGGAGGCATCTGGAAGCCATCTCTTGAGACAAGCAGGAGCCATCTGAAATCCATCTTTTAGATGATCAGAATGTATCCCGAGGCTTTCTCTCAGATGGATAGAAGGCAACCCCAACTAGAAGATGGCCAGCAGCACAATTCACTCAAGCATGTGACGGCTACTGAACATTCCTGCTTCAAACCAGATTGGCAATGAATTGCTTCTCTCTGCTACTAGGCAGCAGACCATGACAGCCCTCAGCCTTTATTACTAAGGCTACCAAGGACAGAGTTCACCTCGTTTATGCCAGTTCCCATTGGCTGGAGGGCTGTTGCAGTTAGGCAGGCTGGGGCAGGACTGGCAGAAGGGAGTAAGGGAATGTGATTCACAAACACAGGAGGCCGGGGAGCAGGGCTTGTAGCTCCTCTCTTGGCACTGTCACGGTAGTGCGGCACTGACACTCACACACATGGCGAAGGACACACACTCTGCTCCCCAAGTCTTTTTGTACAGTTAACAACCGTTGTGGTCCATAGAGGCAGAGGCGGTGGGGGCACGATTGTGAGGGCTAGTGTGGCCCTGGGGACGGCGCCCCCTGCCCGCCAGGCACTGATCACGCAGCACTGAGTGTCCTCTCACTGGTGCACGTGCTGGCACTCGTTGCACCTCACTATGTGGTCCAGCCCTCTGTCAGCCTCGGCCGTTTGCTCAACGGAGTATCATACTCGGTGTGGTGTGAGGTTCCATCAGGCGATGCGTGTGATGTTGGCGTTAGATGGCCTGCAAAGGAACGGAAACCATTAACAATCCGTGAATCTAAACACTATCAGTCGCACACTCATTGATTTATATATGATCTCCAGTATATCGACGATGGTATCTGCAGATAAGATAATGACATTTACGTATCTATCCCATTTTTCTTACCTGAGAGTGTATTGTAATGTGTGTGCACAGGATGGTTGGAAGATGGACCCAAGTGTGACGGCGGTGCGGGCGACAGGTGACCGGGGTCTGTGGATGCTGGTCTTTGCAGGTGGGAGGCGGGGACGCAGTTGGCATCTCGTGGAGGACTGATGGGTTCTGATTTGATCCTTACCGGCGGCGACGAGGCTGGAGGCGGAGTCGAGGAACTGACGCTGAGGTGTGGCAAGCCAGAGTGCGACATTCCCAACGAGCCCGGGTTCCACTATCGGAGAGAACGGCATTCAGAAATATTTCCAGGCGCGAAGAACAGATGTCTGAGTACGCACTAATACAATAATTAAAGCGACACTTCCATATCACATATATCGACATTCTTTAAAAAAATATATATATTTTCTGGTCTTACCTGATGAAGAGAATTGAGGGAATTGAGAGGGTTAAGAGAAATGTCTGAATTTAGCTGGAAGTCCTGATGTGGAAATGTGTTGAGAGGTGAGTATGTCGTCGATGGGTTTCCGGGTGTCGCCTGATGTGATACTACAGGAGTGTTCAGTGAGGGAGAGCCCGGCCGGGGATTCTGTTGGAATTCGATACAGGAATTATAATCTAGGATACATGCATGGGGTCAGTCTGCTACACATGTACGTAGACACCAAATTACTTCAAGAAAAATACATGTAAACAACTTGCAAGTCTTTCTTAACGACTATACCAGGACCATATCCGAAGAGCGGCAGCAACATACCGTCTGTCCTTGAGGGTTTGGGATGTGGACGCGGAGGTTCGGTCTGGTAGGCGAGTGGGTCTTGGAGGAGTGCGGTCGAGTGAGGAGTCCGGGTGAGGGCGCTCCTCCCTGGGGCAAAGGTGACGTCGAGCCGGGGTAGCCGTTGGAGCCGTTCATGTCCAGCATACCACTGGAAGATCCGGGGCGCGGGGACAGTGAGGCGTGAGACATCTGCGGCGACGGCTGCATGAGGGCCGGGTCGTACGCGGTGTTGTTTACGGGAACGGTCACGGCCATGTTGTAGTTGTTCAGTCCCACCGGTTGCTGTGCCGCAAGATAGGGCTACGTTTAATGCCAGTCGGCAAGATTAATTTCGGAGTTCATGGGGTGTACAAAAATATATATGCATAACAGAACACAATATATACATCAGAACAAAAATATATATTCACAATCATTTGCACTGACATTCACAAGAATATCTCCCACTCCCTTCCCCTCCCCCAAGTCACAAACTCTGAACTCACTCGAGTGCCTCCGTTGATCTGGTTGCGCTGCATCATGAGTGTAAATTCTTCATCAATCTTGTTGTACTTGGCCTCGGTGCGTGGGGTCAGGGTGTAGTCTTGTTCGCCGTCTGGGGAGTCGGGAGACTGTAAGCCATTCTTATGTTCCTTTTTGTTCAGAGCCTGCGTGTTCGAGAGGGAAGAAACAAAAGGGTGTTATAAAAGACTCAGCATACGACATTTGGCATTATATCTAGTAATAAACAAGGTGCTTTTAACAATATCAACAGGAACTACTGCTGAGGTGACAGCGTGGACACTATAACCCCATCGTACAGACAGCGTGTGATGCAGAAGCCCTGCAGTTGTAAATATCCCATAAAAATCACCTTTACGACTTCTTTTGTTCTCTGAAACATCTATGGCGACCCACATGTAACGACCAGGAAATAACCTTCATAATCACTATGCAATCTCAATATGCAACCACACCCATCAAACGCACTGCAGTGGTCCCACCGTTGCATCATTGAAGCTGGTCAATGGGGAAGTCATATAGCAACAGCGGAGACCTAATCCAACACGCGGTTATGGCAGAGCATTATATAACCTTCTCTCAGAGCTTTCCTCGCCGCTCGCACTTCGAGACGGGCGCCCCGGACTTCAAAAAGGAATTCACTTATTAATCGGCTTACTTTCCTCCCCGGTAATTACCCACTTACCCCTCATTACAAGTAATTACCTACACCCTACATATTGCGCCCCGCTGACGCTGATCCATACGCGGGGGGTAGGCATGGCGCGGCCGAAAAGGAAAGGAAGGAAAAAAGAAAAAAACAAGAAGACAAAAAAGGTTACATCTGAACCCGACCCACCGGGGCTTCTTCGGTCCCTTCCTCGTATTTACATATGAAATATCTCGCAAGCGCCGTGGCCTTTACATTGAACCCGCGTTACATAACTGCCTCTCAAGGACGTGATCTTCATATTTTAATACTAATTATAAAACATGAGATAAAAAGTTAGCGATGACCAGAATACAAGTCTAAACAGCCAAGCGAGGCAAGAGGAGACTCCGTTGCGCAATACAGCCCTACAAGATCTACTCGTTGCCTCCGAATTCTAATAGTCTGACAGCGACTTCTTTCGCCCGCATGGCATCCGAGTTCTTAAGGAGGGAAGGAAAGTGTTCGGATATTATTATTTTGATTTCTGTAGAAGAGAAGTCTGAACTTGTAAATGTCTAGAGCAGCCGTATTTTTTCCCCGTTCTAATCGAAGCATGATAGAATTCTCCTACTATTTAAATTTAGTAATAAAATATTTGCCAGATCTAGCTCACTGTATAATGCCCGTCAAATGTAAACGAAACGAAATAATCTAAAGAATATGGAGAAATCCTTATTTTATCATTCCTTACTACCGCTGGCTGGCCATTATCAGAATTTACAAAGATGTCAAGATACAAAGCGGGGACTTACTCGAAAGAAAATGGGAAGGGAAAACATACACATCTGAAAAATTCATCATTCTTACGTGGCCGGAGAAACACGATATGTCAAGCGAGCCAATTAACTAATCATCTCTTTAATATGCCATTTTCTCACATTCCCTGTAATCCAAGGTTGTGTATTTTGCAAGCGAGAATACACCTAAATTGCCGTTACCTCTGCTGCCCGACTCTCTCCCGACCAAAAGAGAAAGGGGGGGGAGGGACCGACGACACGCCAGAGTAACAAGTCCTGCCAAAAAAACTACGACTTTATTCCTAATCCGTGCTGACCTCCCTTCCCCCCCCCCTTCCCTAATCCTTGCTGACCCGACTACCCCCCCCCCCCCCAACTACGACTACCCCTTCCATAGATCTCGATATATCACACGTAATAGCTGTAATGCCGGGGTGGGGAGAGTTACTAGTACATAATATGGCCGATATACTTTGTAAATTTTGGTCTTTATCCTAGAAACACGGTAGTTAAAGCATTAGAGCGCCGCTGCCAAAAAGAAGTGGCCAAAAATACCTTCTCTTCCCCTGCTCCCCCAAAGGAATACGAAAACTTCACTTTAGTTGGGGGGAGACGCAAGGGGAGGAGGAGGGAGGGGAGGGAGGAGAGAAAACTATGATAGGAGGTGATGAAAGGAGAGGAAGGGGAGGAGAAGGAGAGGAGAGAGGAAGGGGAGGAGAAGGAGAGGAGAGAGGAAGGGGAGGAGAAGGAGAGGAGAGAGGAAGGGGAGGAGAAGGAGAGGAGAGAGGAAGGGGAGGAGAAGGAGAGGAGAGAGGAAGGGGAGGAGAAGGAGAGGAGAGAGGAAGGGGAGGAGAAGGAGAGGAGAGAGGAAGGGGAGGAGAAGGAGAGGAGAGAGGAAGGGAAGGAGAAGGAGAGAAGAGATGAAGAGAGGAGAGAAAAGAAGACACGAGAGGGGAAGGCAGGGTGATAGTGGAGAAGGAGAAGGAAGTGCAGGAGGAATGGGAAGGAAGGGAAAAACCAGGACGTGGGAGAGGATAGTAAGAAAAAGAAGGTGAAAGAGGAATTGAAGGAGGAACTGAAGGAGGACTACGAAGGAGCAGAGCAGGAAGAGGGTAGCGGCTTTTCGAGATCGTAGAGCACAGGATGAAATTTAAGTTAATGGCTCCTGAGGGACGGCGTACATCAGTGGTAATCATCGCGGCCACACACTGCACGCTAAGGTGTTGTAATCACGAGCTCTCCCTCGCCCCCCCCTCCCCCTGGCCAGTCCCAACCCCGTAATTCCCGGCAGGTGTAAATCACCGCCTTAATTATCGTCTAAGGCTAAGATCACTCTGTGGGAAGGAGGGAGAGGGAGGGGAAGGGGGAAGGGCAAGGGGAAGGGCAAGGGCAGGGAGAGGGAGGGAGGGATGAAGGAAAGAAGGAAGAAAGGAAGGAGAAAACCTACCATTCCCCCTCCCCCCTTGCCCATCCCTCCCCTACCTACCAACCCCACCAAGTAAATCCCCACTCCCACAACCAACCCTTAACGAAAAAAAAAATACAAATAAACACAGATATAAAATAAATAAAGAATAAACACGTCGGGCTTCAGGATCCTGTTCAATCCGAATGCCTTACCTGATCCTCCGTTCCTGCAGGAGCATCACACACTGTAGATAACTGTGCTTGGGGATATTTGTCCAACAACCTTCACCTCAACAATATAATGACTATCATAATTATGAACATTGGCTATCACAGTAGACACATAATAGATACGTATACTAATAATACTAAACATATCTATCTAACACACATATATATATGTAATTTTATTTTTAAGTTAAGACCCAAATGCATTATATACAGCCGAGGGCGCGTGTGGAGTCATGCAACTTTACGCCTTCGGTATCTAACTCTACTACCAATACCTCCGCTGCCTTCCCTAAACCAGTAACTAACTTGTCAACTTGTCCATCTCTCACTTTGAATGACATTTCAATTCTCTCTGAAGTAAAGGGAGAGGCAGAGGGGGGGGGGGGGGGAGGAGGAGGAGGAGGAGGAGGAGGAGGAGGAGGAGGAGGAGGAGGAGGAGGAGGAGGAGGAGGAGGAGGAGGAGGAGGAGGAGGAGGAGGAGAAGAAGAAGAAGAAGAAGAAGAAGAAGAAGAGGAAGAAGAAGATGAAGGGAAGAGGAAGAGGGGGAAACGTGAGAGGAAGGTGAGGAAGAAGGAAGGAGGTGAAGGAAAATGGGAAGAAGTATCGAGAAGGAAGCAGAGAGATGGAAAAAATAAACATTTTTTTTTGTAAGTGAACACCAAAATATGAATATTCAGACCATGACTGATGAACAAATTGAGATAGAAAAATAAAAATACACACAAATCTAAAATTATTTTACATGCCATCTCTGCTACGTTATCACATGAATATACTAAAAAAAAAAAAGGAAAAAAAAAATATTATCTCTACATGCTTGCTTTAGCATCTTAGGTACTTCCATGCATCACTAGTTTACACTAAGATTACAATAAAATCTAAACTGAATGTTATCGGAAAAAAAACTCGTTTGTCATGCTGAGGCGGAACGACAATCGAGCGTCCGAAATCCCATGCTACGTGTTCTGTGTTGTTTGAATGTTTGTATGTCTTCTACCCGTAACCATTTCTAAAGGACAACTTGGCAGAAAGGTGCGCAACTTGATACGGGAAGGTGGAATGATTTTTTTTTGTCTGTCTCGTTATTTTATTTTGGGTTGTTGTTTTCTTCTACTTTTACTCAAAAACTGGTGAGAAACCTTACATCCCAAGAGTGTCACGTGCTCGAACGGTTAGAGTAATTATTATTATCTTAAAAGAGAAACCTTAACTTCCAATTATAATTTAAACCTTAATCCAAATAACCAACAGTTTTTTTTCGCACAATTATAATAAATAAAATACCCCTACGCCAAAGAACAGAGTAAAGATAATTAAATCTTAGGAAAATGTTGATGGCACTGAAGATTACCTCAACGATATCATTATTGGTCCTGGACTCGTGAGGTTCATTATACTCGGTGTACTTGAGCAGAACCTTGTCCATGTCTGTGGACGCGTATTGGAACAGTTTGTTGCTCGAGTTAAAGATGATCAGCGCGATCTCACAGTCACACAACACCGACAACTCATACGCTTTTTTCATCAAACCGAACTTGCGTTTTGTGAATGTGACCTGTAATGTACAAACGAGCAGGGCTGTTAGCTCACAACAACACACGTGATGCTGGCGAAGCAGCCCACCACCCGCTGGGGGCGCCGCAGCGAGCGAGCCCCGCCGCGCTGGAGGAGGCTCTCGCGCGCCGGCAGGTGGTGGGCCGCCCTCACCTGAGTTAGTAGGAAAAAAGCAGACACAACACTGCTGGCACACGGCGTGGTCACACTCCAAGCTGGAGGTCCTACTGCTAGCTGTAATAAACAGGGTTTAAGCGTTACGACAAGCACACCGGCCGAGCCAAGGGGCCGAGGCGTCGGGCGCTGTTGCTCTACCTCAATGATATTCTTGTTGGTGAGAGACTCGTGTGGCTCATTGTACTCCGTGTACTTGAGTAACACTTTGTCCATGTCCGTCGACGCGTACTGGTAAAGTTTGTTGGAGGACGAAAATATAATGAGTGCGATCTCACAGTCGCACAGCACTGAGAGCTCGTACGCCTTCTTCATTACTCCAAACTTCCGCTTGTTGAAGGTTACCTGTAGGTCAGGGAAGGTCAGTCGTTTCGTTAAGGGGCAGTTTCAGGTCTCAACTAAGATCTACTGTCGGCGCAGACTCGCCCTCGTGGGTCTGCGCACCTGCTCGTTCAGGGGTTGGAAGGAATGCGTTATGAAGAGAAGGCTGGTCTGTATTAATATGCATTCATACTTACAGATCTGTGTGTGTGTGTGTGTGTGTGTGTGTATGTGTGTGTATGTGTGTGTGTGTGTGTGTGTGTGTGTGTGTGTGTGTGTGTGTGTGTGTGTGTGTGTGTGTGTGTGTGTGTGTGTGTGTGTGCACATACGCAGCCAAATAATACTGTGATCTACTAAAAAGACGAGAAACAAAGAGGAAATCATAGAAGCGGAAATAAAGATAACGGAACCGTGGAGATCGTGGTACCGGCAGAACTGCATGGTATTGAAACGTGGCGAGTGATCTCCGTAGACATTTCACAAGCATTAACAGCAATGTCTACGGACGGATTTATATGAACCCTGATACGAGAAAACAGTTCAAGAAGGAGAGTGATCGTAATAAACCGATGAAATTCTACCACGTGTAGAGTAATTCCTTCGCACTTTGTCAGAGCTGAGTCAAGTCGGGTCCTCGAAGGCAAGGGGGCAGGGGGAGGGGAGGGAGCGAGGAGGAAGGACTAATTCACTCATCACGCGAGACCCGCCGTGTCATCGCGCTCGCAAAGGTCCTTAGCGGGTTTCAAAGGGGGAAAGGAACCGGTGCAGCGCCCTAGGTGATAAATCTAAGCAAGGGCAACACAATTACTGCAGCTCCCCTAAAGATTGAGGTGCAATTTGGCCACGCCCCCCGTTCAACACTAAGCGAGTGGGCGGGCCGACCTGGCACAACCATTCACCTTTCATCCGCGAGCTGCCTTGCACTGCCCTTGGCGAGCGACAGGGTGCATCGCCTCCTACCACTGCACTTTCTTTTATCTAAATATGATACATTGCTCCCTCTTTCTCCCTTTCTTTCTTTCTTACTCTTTCTTTCTGCCTTTCTCTCTCTTTTTCTCTCTACATTTCTTTCTTTCTTTCTTTCTTTCGTTCTCTCTCTCTCTCTCTCTCTCTCTCTCTCTCTCTCTCTCTCTCTCTCTCTCTCTCTCTCTCTCTCTCTCTCTCTCTCTCTCTCTCTCTCTCTCTCGTTGCCATGGTTACTCCAGCTTGCCAATATCTATCCGGTCACATCTAGAAGATTCACGCATCAAATTTTATACTTCCATTCTCATATCCTTTCTCCAGAGATGCAATATCCTCTTCTTCTCGGGCCCTGAATATCTCACGCTTTTTGTTAAAACATGTAAGTAACTCGCAGCGAAAGGAGGAGGAGCACAGACTTGCGCACGCTCGTGATAAACAGCGCTTCCGAAGAGAGAATCGTATGACGACGTATTTGAGACAAAAAAGGGGAGAACGTGAATAATAAATGAAAGGGAAAAGACAGCAACAAGTCGGTCAAAAGCGAGCATAAAAATGTCCGCTGGAAACCATTCGTCATGAGGGCTGGGAGGAGGACACCCGTTCGCACGCTCGCCTCTGTCTTCGTCGCGAGTCACAAAGCACTCGTGGGGACCGCCGGAGGGGAGGGGGAGGGGGAGCTCTAACAATCTCTAGTAGGGCGACTCGTTATTTATACACCGGGGCTCAAGGTCAAGCTTCGTGGAGGGTCAGGTGTCCTCCCCTCACGAAGCGGCGAGGCCCAGCGGACGGAGCGCCGGTATGTATCTCGGTTTCCACACACGCACGTCGGCTCGTCGATAGTGACATCATTCGCCCAGCACTATTATCATTCTTTAGCGTAATACAACCAAAAATAGTAGGCGGGTGCGAAGTCTGTCACGAGAATAACTTGGGGAAGTTGTTTTGGTTGGAAAGGCGAGTTATAAATAATTAAGTTGGTTGCCAAATATAGAATCAATACTGCTATTCTCGGGGTGGGTGCGTGTGCGCCGCTCCGGAGGGTGTATCGTCCCTATAGCACCAGCGGGTCTGCCTTCCTCGGCCAGCCTGGGCCTCACTCCCTCTCCTTCCCTCGCTCCGTCCTGTCGCTCCTCCTGCCCGCCGCCTACGACCTGCACGCCCGCCCGCCCTCGTCGCCCGCCCTCGCCGCTCGCCGCACGCCCGTCCTCCTGCCGAAGCGACGAGCGGGGGCGAGAGGGCGAGGCGAGCGGGCGGAGGAGGGACAATGTGTCGACACACCTACGTCTCCAACGGTTCCATACTTAGATAATTGAGAGGTTTTAAAAGGTCAAATTGGAGAAAGGGAGGAGCAGGCGAATAAGACAAAGAAAAACAGAAGAAAAACATAATTTAATGATGCGGAGATCTTCGTCCGCAAAATCAACGACAATGTTAAGAGGGAAAGGAATATGACAATATAATTTAAAGTTTAAAGAAAAAAAGTCTGTCATTATCTGTCATCACTTGATCTTGCAGCCTCCAGTGTCAAGCACAACCAAAAATATATATAAATTGCTGAAAACAACATGGATAATTAAAAAAAGAAAACCAGAGAAAGAGGAAGAGACAAAAAGGCACATAAGTTAGTGAATGAAAATCCTACATGGATTGTGATTTTTTTAATAATAGAAAAAAAGTCTAATACTAAAAGGTCACCCAGATCAAAGATGAATAAATTATGACTTAAATTCCACTTTGGAAACAACAAAAATAACGATCCTATAGATAATGTAACACACACCATAAAATTACAATAATTATATTCCGTTATCATTCTTATCGTTACTTCTATAGTAAAATAAAACAAATATATCACAATCCTCATGTTACGTTAAATTGATAAAAAAAATATATAAGCATCGTATGAGAAAGCAACATACAACATTCAGCTGATGTTGCAAATGATAAACTTAAATACTTGACGTTTAATATACTACCATTCATCTTAACATATCTTAATCAATAAACATTTTTGGATGCGTTATTGTTTCAATTATACCTATATTGTTAGCAACAATTATGACGTTGCATCATATAATAATAGTAACTGTTTTGTCGTTTGTGTAGTTGAAGTAGTGATATAATCATAAAGTAGTAATTGTAATATAAATACAGATATCAATACAGACAGAAGTGAAAGTAATTATAATAGTAATACTAGTAGTAGAAGTAGAAGTAGTAGTAATAATAATAATATCAGTAATAACTATAATAATAATAATAATAATAATAATAATAATAATAATAACAATAATGATAATAATAACAATACTCATATAATAACAATAACAATAATGATGATACTAAAGACTAATGATGATGACCATCATCATTATCATTATCAAAAATAAGAAATCAAATAAACAGAAACTAACGAAATTTATGAAATGATAACAATGTGCAATAGCACCCAGGGCGGCGAGCGCGGGGGCACGTACCTGTCTGTTCCGTTCGTCTGTGATCCGGGAGATCTGGATCTTCTTGCGCCCCATGATGGCGGTGGCGGCGGCGGCGGCGGCGGCAGCGGCGTCGTCTACTCAGGAACTAGTGGGCGCGGGCGTCAGGTAGAGCAGTGTGAGCAGTGGTGGCGGCCGCGGCGGAGTGCGTTCCGAGGGCGGGCGTCGCGAGAATAAGGCAGCACGGGCGTAGCTCTCGTAGCGTGGCGGCTTCGCGGGGGGAGGGGGGTGGTTGAGGTACCCTACCCGCCGCAGAGACCGGAGGAAAAATGAACGAGCGTCGGAGATCACAATCTTCCGAAGGACACGGCGTTATCACAGTAGGTAGTGAAGGCGGTGGCGGCGGCGCAGAAGGAGGCTCCGGCGCGAGAGAGAAACACGAAGCTCACCGCCCGAGGCGCAGGAAGCTCCACACTCAGGGGGGGGGGAGCTCGGGGCCGGACCTCAACCTGGAAAACAACGGTGCGCGTCAGTGGGCAATCCAACAAACAAACAAAAAAAAGGAATTAAAAATGCAAACACATTCATCCAAACAAATGACACAAACAGTTTCCGAGCCAATGATACACGGCAGAAAAAGTAAACAAACACATAAATTAATAATTCCCTCCTCAATAAACAAATAAACAAAATCCTAGACCCCATCCTCGGGCCCGACCCAAGCAGGCCGAATCGCTGTCACACGAGATACGCCTTCATCGGGACGTCTAAGTGTACGGAGAGGAGGCCGCTGGAACCCGATAGGCCTCCACTCACGCTCCAGCACTCGGCACATATCTGCTAACTGATGCCCCGAGTATAATTTCCACCCCCACCCCCCTTCCGTACCCCTATTTCCCTTACCCCCTCCCCCCCCTGTCCAAAACCCCAACACGACCCCTTACCCCCCCCCCCTCCCCACAGCCTCGGATGACACGGGGCCTTTCCACGAACGCCCTGCCGTCTTCATTAGCATAATGGCGGGGAATGCTTGCGGGTCGGGGCTGCGACGCCGCGGAGGAGAGGTCGGGCAAGGTAAACAAACCGAGTCAGCCCGACGCCCGACGCCCGACTCCGACCCCTTCGGCGGAGCACAAAGGCCAAGGAGGAGGGCGGGGGAGGGGCAGAGGGGGGGAGGGAGGCAACATGGGTGCAGAGGGAGGAAGTGCCTGAACGCTGCCAGGTGTGGGCAGCTGCCGCCTCCCCCCTTCCTTCCGTCCCTTGCCCTCCCTGCCCATACACACGTCCTCGCGGCAACCGGAAGTTGTTCCCACCTGTCTTAATAAAAACTAATACGCTACAAATACTCATCTCAAAACGCTGCCGATTTCGGAAAATAATCGCCACTCAAATCTCTAATAAAGGAAACTTAATACAATAATTGCAAAGGGCGGGGTAATTTCGGCCAACATCCATTTAATACCCTTTAATTGTTTAAAATAAATTTTAGCCCCGCTATCCGCGTATCGAACAGACTAATACCAGGATGAAACTAAAGCTGCAAAATGCTCCATAAAAACACGGTGAAAATATCTGGAAGCTCTGCTAGTGAATTTTTTTCCTTCCGACTGCACCGAACTATAAATAAATTTCTATACTAAGTAAAGCACTCTTTCAATACAATGACTTTATTAAAATAATACGAGATAATCGACTTCGAAACGACGTTTAAGCTAAAAACAATCATTATAACTTATGATGAGCAGCAATAATAAATATAGCAAAAACAGCAGCAATAATAAAAATGACAAAAGCAACATTAATAATAGCAATAATAAAATCAACAGTAATAATAGTAATAGCAAAAATAATAGCATTCTTCGCTTCGTAGCAGCTTTCTCTCTTTTCTTAAAGGGGATACATTCCCAGCAGTGAATATGTGAAGAATGTCACCAAAACGATAACATTAGAAAAGTAAAATGCCCGTAGAAAGAAAACACAAAGAGGTAGAAAGAGAGAAAGAGGAAGGGAGAGAAAGAAATAAAGAAAGAGAGAGAGAGAGAGAGAGAGAGAGAGAGAGAGAGAGAGAGAGAGAGAGAGAGAGAGAGAGAGAGAGAGAGAGAGAGAGAGAGAGGAGAGAGAGAGGAAGGGGGGAGGGGTGGCACCCGCGGGCGGGGTGCCTGGAGGTGGGCGTCCCCGCGCGTGAGTCACCCACGAACGGCCGAGCGTCCTGCGTTGGCCGCGGCGACCTGCCTTATCGCTGGGATCACCGGCGGGACTCTCTGCGACCCCGTCCTCTCGGCCCGGCAGGAGTCCTTCCTTCTACGTCACGGCCCTTTTAAAATACGGCCCTCGATGCCTGCTCCAGCGGCCACTCTGATCTCGACTACGTGCTGCGCGGCGCTCATGGACTCGCCTTGGAAATGGATGCAGGACAGGAGGTATGCGGGGATGTGCACACTGTATCATATATACATACATATATATATGGATATATATGTATAAATACATATACATGTATTCATGTATGTATGTATCTATATCTACCTACCTACCTATCTATCTATCTATCTATCTATCTATCTATCTATCTATCTATCTATCTATCTATATATATATATATATATATATATATATATATACATACATCCACACAAATATCTATAAACATACTTACAGATACATACATACATAAAAACAGAGTGAGAGGTGTATTTATATGTATGTATGGATGGATGGATGTATATCAGACAGACAGGTAGACAGATGGACAGACAGAGACACAGACACAGACACAAACACACACAGAGGGAGGGAGGGAGGGAGGGAGAGAGGGAGAGAGAGAGAGAGAGAGAGAGAGAGAGAGAGAGAGAGAGAGAGAGAGAGAGAGAGAGAGAGAGAGAGAGAGAGAGAGAGAGAGAGAGAGAGAGAGAGAGGCTCGTCAAGGCCAGCACGAGCAACACGGTGCAGGGGACATGCGCGGAGCAGGAGGAGAAGATCGACCCAGCGAGCCGCGTGTGTGTGTGTGCCACCCAGGTAACACCAGGTCACGATCTCCAAGTCAAGGTCATTTGCTCCACGACCCCCCTCCCCTCCCCCCCTCCCCCACGCACAAAACCCGAACTCGCAGCCAGCAGGAGGGTAGCACTGGCACCGAAGAGAGAGAAAGAGGGAGAGGAAGAGGAGGAAGAAGAAGAGGAAGAGGGAGAGAGAGAGAGGGAGGGGGAGAGAAGGATAAGTGTAACAGGGTGTATACGAAAGGAGAAAGATGAAGAGGAGGATTAAAAGGAGGAAGGAGGTGGAGTAAAAGGGAGAAGGAGAAAGGAGGAGAAGGCGAAAAGAAGAGTAGAAGGGGAAAGAAGGAGTAGGAAGAAAAAGGAAGGAGGAGGGAAGAGGAAGGAGGAGGGGAGAGGAAGGAGGAGGAGGAAAGAGGAAGGAAGAGGGGAAGGAGAAGGAGAAGGAGAAGGAGGAACGGAGAGCGTTTCAAGGTAAAGTTAAGGGGGTTCCACCACGCACTCTTTAACTCGCACAAATGAGAATCGATGTGCTGTCCTCTGAGGTCTGTTTGCAGGTGTGTTGGACGCTCGCTCTTGGCACTTGCTCTGTGCTCTTTTCAACTTCTTCAAAACAAGACAAACACGCGGGTCTGTCTGTCTGTCTCATTCACACACACGCACGCACGCACGCACGCACAAACACACACACACACACACATATATATATATTTAAATTTATGTATACATATATTCTGTGTTTATACATAAACGTATCAGTAAAAGAAGTCAATAGTATAATCACATGTAAGACCGCATTCGTTACTTTAAAAGACACCTCTTTCGGTCACAACCGGAAGGATTCATTCTATTTACTCCAACATAACAAAAATCTCCTGTCCTTTAAATAACTGCAAATCACGTGGCGCGAAGGAGAGCAACATACCTCGATAGCGTGAATTGTCTATATATGCACTATCGATATCTTATTGTATTACGTAAAAAAATGAAAGATACAACCAGAACAGCTACGCCATCCCTGCACTAAAACAAAAACAGAAACAAGAAAATATCCATCAAAGAAACCAAATCATCGGAAATCTACCGCCCAACTTGTCCTCAAGTTTATAAAAAGGAACACGCGGACGCTATAAATATCGCCACTCGAAAGAGAAAAAAAGAGAGAGACAATCCTCAATGACGTATCAATTGGGGGTTAACCGGAAGCCCGCGAACCGTCTTCAGGGCAGGTCATTAAGTCGCCAATCGCGATTCGGACGCGCTTCTATGGCAGCGGTTTCGGGTTCGCTCGGCGCGTTAATGGCCGGCCGAACACAACACGGGGCTCTCAGGACTCGTCAGCGGCACCTCAGGCTCACGGAGGGCCGCCGATGCCGCGAGGTCAAGGAGCCGACTCGGGTTACAAAGTGGTTCGGTAGCGAGGTCATGGTTGCGACGGAGGAGGGAGGGGGGCGAGCGAGGGCGGGCGGAAGGGCGGGCGAGGAGCGCACTGACCCACTGCATCCCTCCGCCGCCCCCATGGGAACCCGCGCCGACCTTTAGCCAAGGACCACAAGATGACGGCCGCCAAAGTGACGTGTATCCCTTCCCCTCCCCTTCCCCTCGCCGACTCACGCACTGGCCACCCGAGGCGACTCGTCATGCGTGACTCAACGGCCATGAGAACCACCTGAAGGGCCAGCCCGCCCCTGCCGCTGTCCGAGTCGTGACGAGCGGATGTCATCCTCCCTTGCGTAATGCAGCTCGCCGCCGCCACCGCCGACCGCTCAACAGGTTCATAGCATGGGAGGCAACATGCGTCATCACAGGGACTTGGCGGGACAGGGTAGCGGGGTGCGGGGGGGGGGGGGATGGGAATAAAATGCTAATTATAAATGTCGATTTATAATAAGACTACGCCACAGTCATGAAGGACAATCGCCTCCCTCGCCTTCGCGCCGCGCCCTCCTTTCAACCCACCGACGCCCACAACCAGCGCCGCCCCTGCGAGCAACGCGCAAATGAGCAGCGCCGCAGCAGTAAAGTCGAGCGCCACAGCAAGCAAGCAGGGCCGTGGAGAGCTGGAGCTGTAGGAGCGCCAGGTGAGATGCTGGACGCTGGGTTGCCATGGCCCTGACCTACTTCCCCTCTCTACTGCCACCGCCCCGGGGAGAGAGTCGCGCCGGGAAAAGAGGGGAGAGCGTGGGTGAGGGGACGACCAATGCTACAGGCGGAGGAAGGGAGGCTGCTTTGGCTAGCGTGTGCTTGTTTCTGCGTAACACATGCACACAGATACACATATAAATAAGTAAATATATGTAAATGTCCGTCCGTGTGATTACGTGTGTATACGCACACGCATGTACTATTACATACCTACACATGAATGTGATGGAGATAGACACATAACGGATAAACCGATAGAAACAGCACCAAAGGAAGAGAGGAGCAGAAGGGGTCATAGAGCAGAGACAGAAGGGCGCCACGAGCAGCGAAAGAAGCCCGAGCGCAAACGACCAAACGAAGGAACGGCGCAA